CCCGGGGGGGGGGGCAGGAGTTCCTGGAGTGGTCATTTGCCTTGCTTTTTGCTCCAGACTTCAAGGAAACCCAACAGACCCTGGAGTCTCCCCACACCTCCTCCACCCCCCTCATTCCCATCAACGTTCTCCAGCTCCACTCCCTCCTCCACCTCTGGTCCCCCGCCTCTTCCCCAAGGCTCAGGCTGCCTCCAACACGAGACAATGCCTCAGCAAGACCCCTCCGTCTTTACCCCCAAGCAAACACAGCCCCCCCCCCCAAGGCACACAACTTGCATTCTCAAAAATAAAGCAGTTGTTCGATCTCTCTTCTAAACTTCAAATCTCTCCACCCTGCCATGGATTCTCACTGAGTTGGGCAGAGCATTTTTGAAGATTAGAGAGGACCTATTCTAATTATTTTCGCAAGACGCTTTCCCCCCAGGGAGAATTGGGCTCTGGCATCTTGTCTTCCTTATTTGCATAAAATATAATTTTTGCAGAGCCAAACAAATGTCTGTAGGAGACAATTTGCCGTGAGCTTCATTCTCTCCCTCCCTCGTTGCCCTTTAAAAAAATACTTTTTTTCTTATCCATCTTCTTCCTCTTTCTTCTTTTCCCTTTCCTCGTTTTCCTTCTTTTCTTCCTACAAACCATATGTTCTTTATTGAGAACCCGCTCACACGTTCTCAGCCCACTCCCCCAGCTGCAGGGGCACCGTAGGGGCACGCAGGGGCAAAATCACTGGGGCTGGCCCACACCACATTTCAGTGCGGCGCCCAGATCCCCATCCAGTCCCTAAATCCGACCTCATCCCGGCTGATTTTCCAGTGGGGAGAATAGCGGCGCCAAAGCTTTTGACAAACAACCGCGGGGGGCCTAATGAAGGTCGCTTCGCCTGGCGCTGCGCTGGGCCGCGGGTTTAACCCAAGCATTTACCAATCCGGTATCGTTGCATCCGGCCAAGAAGCGCGTGGTCAAGGGCTCGGTCCTTTGATTTCCTACGCGTGAACGCGAGGCAGCCTTTCTGCGGAATCGAGGGCTTCGTGGTGTCGGCTCAAACCCACAGACTGCATCCTGATCGATGCCTGGGACCCAGCGAGCGGACAGGCGCGTCTCCTCCAGGCCCTCCAGTTGGGGCAAAAAAGACGTCTGCCACCCCACCCCTGCAAGTCAGGGATATTATTTTACATAGATCATAATTTTCTCTTAAGGCCTGTGTCTGGCTAGAAATGAGGTCACCTCTTAAGAGGCCACAAGAAGTCCGTGGACCACGAAGGGCTCATGCCTGGGTCCACAAGCGCAGAAGCTGCGCTCTGCAGGGTGTCCGGCGGCCCAAGCAGACGCCACTCAACAACCGTGGGACTGTGGATCCACACATCCAAACTCGGGAGCGGAAAATCCTTCAAGGGAATGGTTAATGCTCGCCCCGGGCTCGAACAGACAGCCGGCTGTCTATTTCACCTGAAGTTCCTCTGAAACTGCGGGCAGAGGAGGCATCAGCAAGTTATTCCGCAACCCCCGCCCCCGCCAATTATCTTACTATTACCCTCAAGGCTTCAGTCGTTTTGCACGTGCACAGATAGCGCGGATGGACACAACCTTCATTCTTAAACTGTGGCCGGGACTCTACTGCCTGCTCTCTCGGTAATTTGTCAGCCTCGGGGTATGAGGCTGCCTCCCAAACCCGTGTTCAGGGCTGCAAGGCGCGGGCGCTTGCCTTCCAAGCCCCACTGTGGGGCCAATCCTTTGTTAATTAGCGCTCGTAGCGCGCCCAGATTCCCCAGGGAGACTCTGGCTCACAGGCCCGGGACTCGGGAAGGGGCCTGGGTGGACACTCCCTTCCGGCTCTGGGGAGTGGGGCGGGGGTAGCTTTTCTTTCCGGAGGGATCTTGGAAAGAAGGGGAGGCACAAGCTTCGGAGATAGGGAAAGAGTGGCTGAAGTGTAGAGCCGGCGTTCGTTTTCAAAATCAGTCTGGAAAACCCGGAATCACTCCGCCCTCGCGCGCGACCTGTTGCGCTCGACTTTGTCCAGCTTTGGGCTCGGGCCTGGTCTGGTTTAGCTGCGAGTGGACGCCTCAGCCAGCATCGCGGTCCTGGCCTTCCGGGGTCGGACTTCAGCTATACCAAGTTCGGGGAACTTGGACTCCCCGAGGTCTTCAGATCCAAAGGGGGCCCCCGCAGCCCTACTGGCCCAACGCCGGGAGAATGAGGGTGCCCTCTCACTCTGTCCTGGGTCTCTGGGGTCCTCTAACTGCCGCCTGCCTGGAGAGGGGCCGAGCTGATCTCTGGCTGCAGAAAACATCAGAGCGCCCCGGCAGGGGTAAAGCCGAGAAGGAGAGACCCTGGAGCTTCAGGCCTCCAAATCCCACACACACCCTCGTGGTCTCTATTTGTACATTTTAGGAGCAAGTGGTGGTCGTGTTAAGGATGCTTGTACTGGACTGGCTCCCGTGGGTACTCCAGATCCAGTTCAAGCCGCAGTACTGCCGTTCCGGGACCTCCCTGGCCCTGCTGCTCACCGTGACTGAACGCGCAACCCGGGAGAACAAGACCGCGGCAAGCGCGTCCCTTCCGGTATCTGCCAGCTCGGGCGAGAAGAGCGCCGGGTCATCGCCGACAGGGTTTGGCTATGGAGCCCTCCGCTCAGAAGCAAATAAGACTCAGTCCTGGATGTTTCTGGGGTCTTTTCAGCGGCGAGTTGAGTCTGCATTTGTCCTCTGAAAATACACTTTGGGTACCTCCCTCTCCCAACTACAGCTGCCCCTAGAAAATGCCCTGTCTGCTCCACTCAACCTTCTAAAGATGGAAAACTTGAAAAAAATTCTAGCTCCCGAGATGCAGTCCCTGAGAAGTGGTTTGGCAGACTTTGGTTACCATCAAGTTTGCAGAAGGGAACTGAGAAAGTTTTCCCCCTTGGCAAATTGAATCGTTTTACGTAAAATCAGGTTAAATAGGGCTTCATTCTAAGCTGCGTCTCTCCTTTGTACTGTGAATGCACGTGGGCCCTCCCCTCTTGGGCGGGTGAGGAGATGTCCAGACTTTTCCCGTGGTTCTAGAGGCCTGTCACGGCTGCTCCGGAGGTCAGTCAAACCTTTCCGTGTCGAAGCCCAGCCGAAAGCTGCCTGCTTTTCCCACTTGCGAGTGGATTTTTAAAGGACCAACTCCAGGAGGGCTGAACCGCTATACGCTCCCGGCTACCCCCACCCCGTCCATCTTCCCTTCTGTGTTTGCCTTAATTAGGGGGTGGGGAAATAGGGTTAGGGTCCGAGTTCTCTTAAAAACTGTCAAAGGAGTTGGGGGATGGGAAGCTGAGAGAGAGAGAGAGAGAGAGAGAGAGAGAGGTGGAGAAATGGAGAACTCCGGCACAGGAAAAATTTAAAAATCGTAAAAGGAAAAGGGGGAACTTGAAGCCCAGAAGTCATTGTTTCCTTTATTTCAAAGGGGAAAACCTGCCTGATTCTCATCCTTTTGATTGATTAAGGCCCTGAATACCTCGCAGTCCCGGACTGACAGTCCCTGAATAGGACTGGAGCGAATAAAGCGCAGTGCAGAGCGCGGGGCTGGCACTCGGGGGTGTAAAGGAGGCGAGTTCTCTGGCACTTACCAAGTTATAAATAAAAGGCTATGCACAATGGTACCTTCTCTAAGGACAGACAGTCTTTACAACACTCCTGGCGTCATATCCTGCTGGGGACACTTCAGCTCCTAGCCAAGACTTTGCTCCTTTTATTTTTCCAGCAGTTTAGTCTGAATACCATAATAAATTCCTGAGAACAAACGCTGCAGCAGGGCAAAACTTTAACATATAGACACATCTCTGCTGTGGCATTGGGGACCTACACCTCGAGATTTAGAGCTGCGGCTTCCCAGAGTGGATTTTTCAATCAAGAGGAGACAGTTTTCTTCTCCCTCCCCTCCCCAGACTTCAACGCTTGCGTCCTAGGGCCTCCCACGGCTGCCTAAGCTTCACACTCACGACTCCAGCTCCCAGACTGAGAAGACAAAGGAACTTATCAGCACACCCTGGACTCCTCCTGGGAGGAACCCCACCGGGAGGACCCCTACAACAAACCTAGGCCAAAGGGGCATTGACCAGAGGAAGGCAGGCAGCACATGTCCAGGCCCTCCCAGTGCCTTCTCATTGGAATTGCGCCCCCTCCCGTGGTAGTAAACCAAGAAAAATGAGAGAGAAAAAAGTCACAGGTAGAAAAATAGAGACACAGACAAGGAGATGGGACGAGAGGAATAGAATCAGAGACAGAGAAAGACACAGAGATACGCACAGAGACAGAGACAAAGAAATGGTTTAAATGAGGGAGAGAGTGACACACGTAGAGTGAGAAAGAGAAATAGGGACTCCTCTTCTCTTTGCAGCTGCTATCTCCCTCGGGCTGTCTCTCCCGGTTTCCACGGGTCTGCCCTTCTCTTCTGGGGAAGGGGCGCAGCGTGGGTTCCTCGCCGGGCTGGCCAAGGCCTTGGCACCGCCGCGGATGGGAAGAGAAAGTGGTCGCTGTCGCCCAATCAGCGCGTGTCTCCGCCACTCGGGACGGTCTCCCCGTCGGCCAATCGCAGCTCAGGGCTCCTGACCAAGCTTTGGGTGAAAGAACTAATAAATGCTCCCGAGCCCGGATCCCGGCACTCGGTGTCACGACGGGAGGAGACTCAGGCCGGCCGCGCTCCCGCCCCCCCCCCCCCCCCCTCACTCGTCGCGGCGCTCGGAGCCCCCTCCCCAGCGCCCCCAGACTCAGGGCCACTCGCTCAGACTCGCACCAAACTTTTCCGCCCTGGGCTCGCGATCCTGGACTCTGGGGCCTCCCTGCCCGCCCCTTTCCCCGGTTCCTTCGCGAGCCTCGCTCTGGACTAGCAGTCCTCGTCCCCGCGTCCCTCCCTCTCTCTCCAGCCTTTTTGGGGAGGGGCTCTCCACGCTCCGGGGAGTTTCCGAGGGTCGCCAAGAGCCGCGCTTGCCTTTCTATTTCGCCTTCACCTGGATATAATTTCCAAGCGAAGCTGCCCCCAGGATGACCACGCTAGCCGGAGCTGTGCCCAGGATGATGCGGCCAGGCCCGGGGCAGAACTACCCGCGCAGCGGCTTCCCTCTGGAAGGTAAGGGAGGGCCTCGGCGCCGCCCGGAGCCCAGGGCCGTAGCCGGGCTGCTCCACTCTACCCAGGGTTTCCACTGGCTTCTTTGGCGTGCCCAGGGAGCCCATCCGCTGGGCACCCCTACCCCAGAAGCTAACAGTCGGTCGAGATCTCCACTCGATTTTCTCCCTGCAAACAGAGCGCAGTTCTTTGGGCAAACCCTTGCGGAGCCTGACGGCCAGGCCTGTTCCAGGCGGGTCCACTTTCTCCTGCTGTTTTGGAAATGCCGCGGTGGGGAAGGGATGAACTAGCTCCTGAGCACCAGAAAGCAACTTCTCCGCATTTTGTCCAACCCAAAGCATCTCAAAATGGTCCCGGCAGCTCCCATATTTGCTAAGCTCTTGTTAGTTCCGAAAGACTTTTCTTACCGATGCAAAGTGTAGGGGCAGACATTCCATGGCATTGTGCTGGGGATTTTTAGTATTAATTGACTAATTAATTAGAGTTCCATTCATCTCAAGTGGCATCTTGAAGTTTCCATAACCCTTTTGGGGAACTGCCTTTTGGTCATCTGGAAGTGACTCCCAAGGCAGGAAGACTTGCAAGCCTGAGTGCTTCTGGAGAGTTGGCAGGGCTGGAGTGCCTGAAGGGGATTTTGATCCAGCCACGGCCCTTTAGGCTGGGTCTAGAGTAAAATGTCATCCCAGACCATGAATGGAGGTGAGGGGGTCTGTGAGCAGACCCACCTGTGGGCTCCATCTCAAGGTGTAACAGGTGACACACGCTGCCACCTGAAGCCTCCTTTTAGGACCCTCTTTGACCTTTGACTTCTGCACTCTTAGCCAGAAACCCCAATGGCTGTCATTTCCTCCAAGTCCCTTAGAAAGGGAGCGGTTCCAATTGAGCATGGTTTGGTGTGAGTGGAGGTCCAGAAGGCCAGCGTCTGGGTCAACTTTTCTCTCTGCCAGGACGCTGTTTCTTGAGCAAACCTCAAGATACTGACCGCAGGGTCTCCCCACCTCCCAAAGTTGCCAGATTCTCTGGGCCCAAAAGGAAGACAGTTTCTCTGAGGCAAGTTATTTTGCCATTGTTGGTCCCTTCACACAAGATTATGTGCCCCGGAATTGCTTCATAATTTGAACAGATGTGATTGGAAAAGGATCTGGGGGTGGTAGCTGGGTGTCGAACAATTTCAGCGCTCTGCCTGTGACTTGCTGATTGTCCAAAAGAGTGCGAAATTATGTGGGCTCATTTTCCAGGCTGCTCTCTGTTCTCTGAAAATGACTTTCCCTCTGCCTCTCTTTTTGCCTTTTGCGCCCAGTGTCTACTCCCCTCGGCCAGGGCCGTGTCAACCAGCTTGGTGGCGTGTTTATCAACGGCAGGCCGCTACCCAACCACATCCGACACAAGATTGTGGAGATGGCCCACCACGGAATCCGGCCCTGTGTCATCTCCCGCCAGTTGCGTGTGTCCCACGGCTGCGTCTCTAAGATCCTGTGCAGGTACCAGGAGACTGGGTCCATCCGTCCTGGGGCCATTGGCGGCAGCAAGCCCAAGGTGAGCGCGGGGGGCCTGGGCCTGGAGGCCTCCGGGTCTGTGGTCTCCCGCCTTAGGGAACATTGGGCAGGGGGCAAGGACTGTCATCTGGGGCTTTCTAAGGAGTTATTTTTCAAGACCGGGAAGGGTCCTTTGGGGTGTATGTGCGTCTATGCTTGTGTATGGTGGGGGTGGGAGGACTCGGTTGCTGACTGGGCCGCTGTTCCTCCATGAATGCTAAGGGAAAACTCCAGCCTTTTTGCAAAGGAGATAAAGCATTGTTAAAAATGTGTCGGAACCCTAGTATACTCACCAAATTATTTTAATAGGCAGACACCTAAAACACGCAGTTGGATGTGCCCACCTGTTGCTGGTTTCTTCCCCAAGAGTCTCCCCAGCTCCCACCCACTGCACTGCCCTTGCCAAACCTAATCTAAGGAGCTGCTTTTGGCTTTCTCTCCCACCCTCTGTCCCCAATCTCCTCCTGTCCAAATTGTCTTCAGGGAGTCAAAAGCCAGGGTGATTTGTTTCCTTTGTAAGGAGAAGATGACTTGGCATTTAAAAAGCAGTTTGGTACTATCCTCAAAATATTTTGGTTCCTTTTAAAAAATGAAAGAGTCACACTGGCTAAGGCTCAGTAGGAGGGGATTACACAGGGTCTGTCTTTTCTTCTGGACATGGGGAAAATCCAGTATAATTTCCTAGTTGCCACAGGGCAGAATCAAAAGGAGGGTTCTGGTAAACTGAAGACTTCCAAATGCCGTGCTCCCCATCTTCCCCCCGCCCCAGATCCCCTTGCAAACTCTCCAAGAATCTCTGGGAACTACTTTTATTGAAAAAAAAAAGAAAGAAAGAAAGAAAAGAAAAGAAAATAGCTACTCTCTCAAATTATCCATATTTGTTATCCATATTTGATTCCTTTTTTAAAGCCTATATAATTAGCTTTTGCATTTAATTCTGTTCTCCAATTTAGCCAAAATCTTGTGCTTTTTTGGGAGAAGTACAAGTTGCAGATCTAACTTGATTTTTTTGCTTCTCTTTCAAACATTCCCCCTGTTTAGTTTCGTTTTCATGTTGTTTCTGTGTAAGGAGTTGACTTTCTTTAGTTTCAGGGATCGGAAAGTATACCCTTTGCCACCCCCAAGATGTTATGAGTCTTCTTAATTTATCCTGATTGTCTAAGCTTACCTAGGGAGTATGAGGGTCCCCCAGGTGTCGGGCGATCTCACTTCTATTCCTTCCTGAAAATGAACTTTTTCAGAGAGCTGGGGTCCTTTTGCTGACAAGGGGCCTTCCCCTGGGGGTGCAGGAAAGAGCATCCCGCTGGGTCTGGAAGCCGTAGGGCCCCCACATTTGGCCCAGAGTACTGGGTACCAACGCCTGCCTGCCTGTTCTCTTAAAGCAGGTGACAACGCCTGACGTGGAGAAGAAAATTGAGGAATACAAAAGAGAGAACCCGGGCATGTTCAGCTGGGAAATTCGAGACAAATTACTTAAGGACGCTGTCTGTGATCGAAACACTGTGCCCTCAGGTACCAGGCCCATTAACGTCTTCCTGAGGCACGGCCCTCAGACGCTATTCCCCAGGCGGGTCATCCGAGCCACAATACCCCCCGAAGATCGATCTGGGCGATCGGGAGGCAGCCCCTCCCAGGGCCCTGAAATATTCACGAGCCAGACGCGCTCGCGGTGTTTTACCGAGAGGGGGCTGAGCTGCTAGTCCTGGGGCTGAGAGACCGCCAAGGGCTCCCCAAAGAGGAATTCTGTCGAGGAGGCAAAGGCAGGAAACGCGAGGCGGAGACCAGGCGTTTATTAATATTGATGTTCCCTTTTAAAGAGAAACAAATGTTTTGGTAACCCCAGCCGAAGGGAGATGGGGCTGCGCCAGCCGAGGCTTTCCCTTGTGCGCAAAGGAGGGAAGGCTTCAGCAACGGCCCGGATTTTTCCCGAGAGTCCCAGGGACCATCCGGCGCCCCGGGCATCCGGGGGGAAGGCGGAGGGAGAAGAGGGACAAACGCAGGGGCGAGCGCGAGGGCGCGCGGGAGAGTTTGTTTTTAATTAAAAGGAAACTCCCTTTCCCCCCTGCAAGAACGAGATATTTCAAGAGTATGGATTTGTTTACCAGACTGGAATCTGGAAAAAATAAATGGGGGAGAGTGCATTTTCTTTTGATTTTTTACAATAGGAAACGATTCTGCAGTTGAAATTTAAACCCTTTATAGCCTCAAAAAAAGCTGAATTGCAGGGGACGGGCCCTCTGTGGTTCTTCCTCCCTTAACGCCAACCGCGGAGGCCCAATACCCAGGTGGCGGTAGGGGATGCTGGGTGGGCTGGCTGGAGAAATCTCTTGGAGTCGAGATCTAGAGCCCCGTCTATAGAGTGAAAAAGGGAAATGCTTTCCGCCGGGACGAGAGGGACAGAGACGGCATTTCTCTCGGATCTAACCTGGAGGTGAGGATTTTGGAGTGGGGGCAGGTGTTAGAGCGGGAGGTTGAAGGGGTGATAGAAGGTCGAGGATGCCCCAAGATGCAGGAGGAGACAGGCCAATTGTGCAGGGCAGCCGCTCTAGGGTCTGGGCTGGGGATTCGAGGCTCCTTCCTGCACGGCCTGGCAAGGCTCAGTCGTCCGCGCTCCCACCCTCCTCCTGTCCCCAGTGAGTTCCATCAGCCGCATCCTGAGGAGTAAATTCGGGAAAGGCGAAGAAGAGGAGGCTGACCTGGATAGGAAGGAGGCCGAGGAGAGCGAGAAGAAGGCGAAACACAGCATCGATGGCATCCTGAGCGAGCGAGGTAAGCGGCGGCGCGCTTGAGCGGCGCGCTCAGGGACCGCGCCACGGCGGCACCCGCGCTCTGACGTCGCGGGCGCGAGCGCGCGGGCCGGCCCCGGCTCGGGTCAAGGTCCCTCTTCGCTCGTATCCACTGCACTCGGGAAAGAGCATTCAAGTGAAAGACTAGAGGCGTACTTGAAGCTAAAACAAAAATCTCTTTTCTTTCTTTTTCTACTTATAAGTCTTTCTTCTGCACCAGCCTCAGCCGCTCAGAGTCTAGAACTGCGAACTGCGTTTTGGTGCAAGGCAACCCTTTTGCCCTCAGGTGTACGGGGCCGGGCGTCTCGGAGCTCTTGAGGGGCTGGGGACAGTCTGTGAGCCTCTGGAGGTTGAAGGAACTTTTGCGTCCTAAGGGAAGGCCCAGATCTCTAGATAGGTTCCCATAATTAGAGGAGGGGAGGGGAGAGGAGGACTCAAAACTCTTTGGGGGCAGTGTGGCCCCAGAGTTGCACCACCTTGACTGCCTTATAAATACATACAGAGTACATCATGCATATATATATATGTAAGATGGTAGTTTTATGCTTTAAATTGGTTTTCAAATGCGATGGGGTTTGATTTCTGTGTGTGTGTGTGTGTGTGTGTGTGTGTGTGTGTGTGTGTGTGTCTAGGAAGGAAAATCAGCTTAAGATGTGGGTTCTTGGAGCTGTGGTGTTGGTGCCCTGTCTTCATCAGAAGGTGCAAGCCACCTGCTCCTTGTTAGCTGTGACCTGTCATCTTCAAGAAAAAGTCTCTCCTTTGGAGCCATAAGTGCAGCCTGCTTCCCTTATACCCGCCACACATGGTCTGGAGAATCTAAAGGTGTATCCCTCTTCCCAAAAGGAAAGCCAACCTGTGGAAGTTGAACCGGAAAGGGATCCCTGCAGCAGTTTTCCACTCTGCAGTTTTGGCCTTGGGGATGGTCACACCTCTTCAGAGTCGCAGAGGGTCAGGGGGCACCTGGCACCCCTGCCACACCCTGAGTTGCCCCCTTCAGGGCCCGGGACTTAGGTGGGTTGTGTTGAGTTTTGACTTGTCCTAGAAGGGTAGGAGGCTCCTCAGGTGGGCTTGGACACCCACTGTGACCAGCTGGGTTTGTACCCTCAGCAGGTTCTCCAGGGTAGGACTGTAGGTAGAAAGCTGGTCACACCTTTTGCTTTCATTGCCCAGCCCAGGTGGATGGCAGCCAAGGCAAAATCTGTCCACAACCTTGAAGAGACACTTAGATTTAGATGTGACAAACTCAAACAGCTGATTTCAGGGATCAACAGAAGTGTCGATGTTCTGGGACACACGGGCAATCAGGAAAAGACACCAAAAACCAAGGCTCGCTGGGCAGGGAAATATATATAGGCTGTTGCTTTCCTTAAAAGCAAGGGACTCACAGGGTCTTAGCCTAAGGCCCTCCTTCGGAAGCGGTGCTTTTCTGCTCTAGTCTCTCAGGAGACACCCCAGCTTTTATTCCAGGCTTAGATGCAGCAGAGGGGTACTGGGGAGGGAGGAAGGAGAGAAACCAGCCAATCCCAAACCCAATGGGCCCCTGTGGGCAGAGGGGCAGGAAGCCCAGAGCTATCAGAGAGGCTCAAGAAGCAGCGTGGGGGTAGCACAGCTTGGCTACTTGTTGCTGGAGGCGCCTGGCGACAGACTGGCCGCTCCCTCTCAGCACAGGCAACCGAGGCCCAGGAGACAAAACGCCCCAAATGAGCTGGTCAAACATTTGTACAACTTTTCCAGCTTTTACAAAGAAGGCCTTCTCTACACAATCTACACTTGGAGATGAACTTGGGAGACAAAGCCTGGAGAGTCCATTGAAACTCACACTTTAGCTCGGCTCAGACAAAGCTCCAGCTCGCAGCAGCTTGATGTGAACAAAGGAAGGCAACCTTTTTATAATTCAAGGAGAAAAGAAGAGAAAACAGCTCCACAAAGGGCCAAGAATAGACATTACGGGCTTGCAATGAGGGATGAATTATTCAATGAGCTCCAATAGCTGCTGCGCCAGGAAGTTTTATGGACTCTCCAGCGTGGAAAAAGTGTCTATTTCACCTACAAAATGTTTCTAGTCTTTTGGGCCGTCTAGCTGGGCCGGCTGCCATTCAAGGGCAATTGCTACCATTTTTAAAATCAGAGTATTCTCCGCAGCGGGGGCTGTACCGCTGAAAACATACACACTCCACAGAGGCTGAAGCCTAATTTAATTTGGGGTTGTCAGAGAAGAGGCAGTGTCCCTCTCTTTAAGCGGCTCTAGCTCCCTTTCCAGATAAGCCCTGGAGGGCAAGAGGGGCACAGAGAAGGAACAGAGTGAAGGGTAGTTTAAAGGGAAGTCTAGAAACCTCAAAAAATTACCCCTGTTGTTTGGGCACCAAAAGTCAGCGGCTGTTCCACCTGTAAAATAGAACGACTGTTGAGAAAGCGACCCGAGCTCCCTAGCCCAGAGGGAGGAGGCTGGCTGAGAAAGGACCTTTGGGTGCCCTGAGCAGGGTGAGGTGCTCTTTTCTAGAGGTTCCAGCTTCCTGGGGGTGGGGGAGTTGGAAGGAAAGGCGGTGTTAAGACTGGCTTTCCGGGGGGAAATCTTCCTGCCTGTCAGACTCTAGGACACAGGAAGAGAAGCACCCTGAAAGATGTCAGAGCTGCTCTCATTTTTCTGTCCAGTGTTTGGCTTTTCTCCCAGGTGACCCCTTTTACCTTCTCACTTTCCCTTGTCCCTTGCCCAATCCAAGAGCTGCTCAGCGTGCAGACTCGGCGCGCTCAGGCCCCTGTGCCCTGGCGCGCACTAGACGCTGTGCACCCCTCCTGGGTCCATCCTTCCAGCTCCTTTGCCCGGGTGGAATGAGAAGGTTGGGAGGCCGGGGACAGCAAAGCGCCCCCCACCCACCCACCGCCAGCGCCTGGGCCCGGGCCTCCGGCCAGCACCGAGATCGGAACAGGCGCAGTCGGAGGAGCCAAGCCCTGGTCGCAGCATCGGGGGCCGTGGGTACAGCCTCTTCTGCGGCCACTCAATGGGCGCCTCTGTTCCTCCCCCAGAGCGGCCGAGCGGGCCCGCGGGCGCCGCCACAATGGGTCGGCCCCCACTCCTGCGCCCTGCGCCAAAGCGCCGCGCCGCGCCGCCCCCTCCCCTGCGCTCCGGCCGGCTCGAAGCTTAGCTCGCCGGGCTGCAGCCGACTCAATTGCCTCCTTTATGTCCTTCTCACTTTCATCTAGACACAGCCCGCCTCCCCCCCCTCCTTCTCCTTTTTTTTTTTTCTCTCTCTTGCCTGAGGCTCACATTAGTGAAATTTCTGCAACCTCCCCCCATTTTTTTTTTCTTATTTTAAAGAAAGCCCTTAACACAAAAGCAGTGACTAATCAATAGAAACTGCTCCTTCATCTCTTCCTCCTCCTCCTCCTCCTCCTTCTCCTCGTCCCCCAGAAGGGTGACGCTTTTCCTGTTTGTGAGTTTTGGGAAACATTTTTGCTTTGTGCCGTAATGGAATTAGAGGACAGATGAGGACTGTAAATGGGACACGCGACGGCAAGACTCTCGCTTAAATATTTAGATGCAACGTTACAATTACTGACTTGTTGCTGCGGCTTTGAAGTGGCAGCTCGGGAGTACAGGGGGAGAGAGGCCAGATTGCCCAATTGATGTTTTGACTGGGGCTGGAGATACACTTTCATAGGACTTTGCTTTTCTCCTTTAAAAATCACTAGTGAGCGTGGGAGGTTTGCAACGATTTCAAAGATGAGGCTAAGAGCCCCGAACCATAGGTCGTTTCAGGCTTATACTCCGTTAGAATCTCTCGCTTCCTATTTGACACTTAGGAAAAGCAGGTCTTTTTTTTTTTTTTTTTAATTTGAGAAAGTAAAAGTGACAAAAGTTTTGCTCGAGTCCCGTTTTGTTTGTAAACTTGTGAGCTTTTCTTGAAATATCTAGGACGACGTCAGCTTTTCAGCGGGACATAAGAGAAAGCAACTAAAAACGCAGAAAAAATTTAAAGGCCCTCGAACTATTTCATTTCCAATGGAATCACGAAAGGAGCACTTTATCATTAGCGGGAGCTACTGAAGTCGAAAGGAACGGAAGGCCGTTTCTTCCCCCCGACTTAGCAAGGAAGGACATTTTGGCGCGAGGCAAAGCGGGGGAGGCGGGGGTGGGGTGGGGTGGGGTGGGGGGAAGAAACTTTCCCACAGACTGAAATCATGGGGTATAAGATCTTAGGTTTGTGGCTTGGAACCTTTATTAAAGTGGACAGCCCACTCTCCAAGTCCATTTGTCAGAATCCCAAATTTGACCCCAATGTCGCCTCTAGTCTTTTGAGCGAATTTTCTGTTTTCTGAAGCCCTTAGGTTACTCAAAAAGGAAATAGCACCCATTTAAAAGTGTGTTGGAAATATCAAAACTTCAATCAAATTAAAACACCACGTTGCGTTCTTTTCAAGGACATAGCGGTAGCGATTTTTCTGTTGGGATGGGAAAGAAAGAAAGAGAAAAAGAAAGAAAGAAAACAAACCACCAGAATTCGGGTCTTGTAGGTTTTTCTTTTTTGCTTATTTGTTTTGTTTGGTTGGCTGGGGCATGTTTACTTTCTAGCCTTATTGAAAACATGCAGATTTTCTAATTAATGCTTGAAATCGTATGTTTATTTTGGGGCTTGATTTGATTGTTGATAGCACCGGAACGGGATGTAGGGGCTTCAAGTGCGTAATAATTACTGAAGGGTCATTTAAGAGTCCCCAGGGCTTCGCAATAAACCCACCGGGGCGTTGAGGCAGAACCAGCAAGTGCTCCGCGGTTCAGGAGAGAGGGATATGCTGAAATCAATCAGGAGAATAAGAGCATTGCGACTAAAACCCAGTTGCAATATCCATGAATAAATATATTTGAAGAAAAAAAAAATCCTTCCTAACCATGAGGTTAAATGTTTAAGTCCTACAAAAGTAAATAGCCAACGAAAATTAAAAGTTGGAACAGCACCTACAAAGAGTGAGACAGAGTTTGTCCAG